CAGCGTCTGATTCCCTCTCAAATCGTTGCTGATGCGTCTGGAGCCTTGTATTTTCGCTGACATTAGAGATCCACTTAACCTTTTTGGAGAGGAGACGGCGTCCGGGCGTCGTGAGTCCTGGTTCGCTTAGCGGGATCCACAGATGGCCGTTCGGCTCTGGACTCAAGCGCAGCCAACCTGCCTGACGCGCGGTAAGAAAAGTACACCACTGTGTTGCAATGTACCTCCTGTCGAGACCGTCTGTGTCTTCTGTGGAACCATACTCTGGTCGGGCTGGCCAGTCAATGGCCACCTCACCGGTGCTGGGATTGAAGAGCTGCCGTTTAGTCGCTTCATCTGGTGTGAGCCAGTCTGCCGGCTCGCCGCCCGGTTGGATGGCTTCGACCTTGTAAACTCTTAAACCAGTCTGTGCACTTTCGCCGCGTTTCCCGCAATTCTGCTCGCCTTCAACCTCCTCGAAGAGGAGTACACGATTGCCGACTGCCTCTTCAGCTGTCATCCATCGGGAATTCTTAACATCGTACACGCGACAGACGCCGTTTTCCTCTGATAGGAGATTGTCCGCCCGCGCCTGACTTACAGGCAGGTACTCCAGAGTGTAGGTGTTCAGTACGGATGTTGCTCGTACTCGTCGTATTTCGCAGGATTCTCTTTCAATGAACATCAGGGCGTAGTCCATTGGGTAGTTGTTGCTGCTTGTGGTGGTGGAGCCAAAACGAATCCGGCCCTGAGCCAGAGCGGTTTCCAGGGGGATGCTGTGACCCGTAGTGGGATCAATGTACTCATTTGTCTGGCCCATACGCAACCACCCTCGACGGACAGCGACGTTGACGGGTGCGAAGAGTCCGGTTATTGGACTGGCCACCTCGCGAATGTCGTTCCAGCAAAGAGCATCAATCGGGGAGATCATGTCGCACAATTCGTACTCTGTGACGCGCTGTCGGAGGTCTACTTCAATGTAGTCGGTTCTAAAAGAACAAAGGGCAATAATTACATCTCAGATGGAGCTTAGCGTGTCACTGGTTATAGGTTTACTTTTATGCTGCCTTAGAATTAATTTGATGGACTGAGTGGACTACCTTTGACGTGCGTTTCGCAGCTATTCTGTTCATACGAGGTGAGCAGAAGCGTAATAATATACACAGTTCACAGACTGCAAAATAAAGTACCTTCAGTGTGTGACTCGTGGAAACAGGTTACAGTACTTGAGTTCTCTGATAGAATCAGTACATATACAAATAAATTTATATTTTGAGCACATAGCAGACACTACGTATTACTTTAACCATATTATTAGGGTGAAAAAAAGGAGAAGCGGCCGACTTGGCGACAGTGCTTGGCTGTCCTACTTGTATTCACATCTGTGGGTATACAAGGCATTCTTATGGACTGCCTGTATATTATGCCAATATTGGCGAATTATTCTAAAAAACCCCTAAGAATTCCGAAAGTTGGTGGTTAACTATTCAGGGTATACATGGCGACTGTCAATATAATCTGGTTGGAGGTGTAAATATTATGACTAACTCCTAAATTGGCCGAGTGTTTGGTCTCTATCAGCGAGGTCTGGTGCTATTTGTGCATGCTTGCAGTGATTGCCATTTACCAAAGGTGGATTCGTTTGTTGGAGGCTCATGGGTTTATTGGGGTTCGAGCTACATCTAGAGCTATTGGTGCAGTATGGGTGTAACGATTGGTCTCATTGTGGGCCTTAGTAATGAGAACTGGACGGTAATCCCTGAAAACAAGTTAGAAGAAGCTTGCCAAGCAGCGTATCAACAAAGTTTCGAAGGGGCGTGACGACATTGAGAGGGCAAGAGTCATCAATGAAACAAGCGATAGATGAATTCCAAGAAGCAGGTAGTAAGAAGGGCAGTCGATCGCTCAAATAAAAACGTTCTTCCCTCTACCATTTCTGATATATTGGGCTGGTTACACGGCAATGAGAGTTTGTTGTTTCAGATAGGCATTATCGTCTACAGCATCAGATAAGGGGAATAAATGCACAGGCGTCGTAGTACTTATGGACGTTAGTTGTTGTGCGAGCTCCTACCCCTCAAATAGGTTCCATACAAGCCCCGACAACAACAGAGCTGATGAGACAGGCAACATTTAGACACCATAAGGAGAGGCCTAAGTGTTTCACCAAAGCATTCGTGCTTGGCTTCCCGAGTAAACGCAGAGAATTGACCAAGCCAAGAGTAGTTTCTGTGAGTGCATGGATGAAAACAACATATAACTGCTTCAAAAGAGGGTAACTGCACAGGCTCGCAAACAAAGAGTCGTACGTGATCCAGCACCAGAAAACATACTAGCAAAAAAAGTTTAAGAAGCGGACCTCATATACCCCTAGCCCCAGCATTCTGTCTTATGGGACTAATGGTAATAGGGGTTTGTGGATAGTAAATAAGGATAGGGGGTTGGGGATTCACCCCCGAGTCCCGCCAGCAGCCGCACAGCAAATAGTAGTTTAGAAAAAACAACATTACCGACGAAGACAAGAGGGACTGGAATGACTATTTCTGGCTTATTAGGCATTAGTAGCCAACCATATCCAACCCCAGGTGGTGCACCATCCGAGTCAGTCAGACGAAAGCGATGAAGTAAACGAGGAGTCTTGTAGGACGCAAAGTTTTTTCCTTCCTTAGAGCTCACAGGTCATACGAGTAGATTTCCGATCAAAAGGCGGCAGGTTCGAGCCTGGAGTGGTGCACCACTTGAGTTTGGGTATGACTGGCTGATGACTGTAAATGAGTCAGAAATGGCCCTCCCAGTCTCCATTGTCTTTGTCGGCTATGCTATACGCCTAGGGAAAGTTGGGTTATTCAAACCGATAAGCCATATTATTGACAGACGCCCTCCGTCAGGTCATCAAAAACTACCACAAAGCCGAACCTTTCACAGCTGTGTATTGCAACGGCAGAATATCGGCGAAACAGGCCTGTTTTGGATTTTAGTTGGCATCCGTGCTATCAGTATGGCAAATCATATAACCTATGCCTAAATTAATTTCAAACAGAACAAAGTTCAAATAAATTATAAAAACATGGACGGGGAATCATCAGACACTTACGAATGCTGCAGGAGGGAGACAGCTGATGAGGAATCCTGAGTGCGCTTGAGGTACTCCTCCGTGTGGATATCCTCGTCAAAGAAGTATGTTGTTACATCAAGATCGTGCAAGCAGTCCATGCGTGGTTGACTATCTGCAGGCCTGGGAACTCTCTGTCTTCCGTCTAGGAATTCCGTATCCGGTTCTTCAGTCTGCACAGCCCGACTCACATGAATGTACTGAATGCGATCGGCTACATAGAGAGGCCTCTCGAGCAAATGCGTTTCTTCCACAACCTCTGCCTCTGTATGCTTCACACTCTCCAGGGTCACTCTAACAACACTTTCTTTCCCTTCCGATGGCGGAGTACTAAAAACAGCGGACGTGGCAGGTTTGACCGTTATCAGATCGTCTGATATGCCGCGATTATAAACGTCCTTCGTTTGAACAGCGGTTATCGTAAGATATGGCGAGGACATGGTTGAAGCTTCTACCAGCTGTCCTAGTTGCATACGCCGTGAGTAGGATGAATCCACATACAGATCCGTTGAAATTTCAGAGTGTTGCTCAAAGGTGAAAGGTTCACTAATCACCGAACATTCCTGGGTCTGGATACCAACTTCCGCTTCCGAAGGGCACTGTGGGAAAATGGATATTGCAACCTCCCGAACGAAATTCTCCTCTAGGGCCAATTTATATTCAGTGTAATTCAGAAATCCAAAATCCATACGATTGAAAAATTCGACCAACTGCTGTCTATCAGAAAACCGGATAATCGTGCTCTTGACATGTTCGACAAGATCGTAGAATTCTGCAGAATCTCGCTCATACAGGAAACCAGTGGAAGAATCAAAAGTCAACCAAGCCGACAACGGCAACCTCTCAGTTTGTGTACACACAGACGCAGAAGTAGAAAATGAATAATAACGAAGATCGGACTCAACACGAGTAACGTCAACGGAATTAATAACATCCAAAGAAGAAACAGATTCTCCCAGGTCACACTGAACGGAACGACATCGAGGATAAGATGAGAAGGAGGAACATCCAGACAAAAGGCACGAATCAAACTCAGACTGCCAAGCAAGGTCATCAGCACCAGGAGGCCTCGATAAAAGTTTATGCGACGACGAATCAGAAATTACAGACATCGTGAAAGACGAAAGATCTTCGCGCAATGGCACCACAGTTTGACCTGTGCCAACTTTCAACAATACACTCTCCGGTACTGTAGCAGGTGTTCGTGATATTGGTGGCGCTGAGTGCTCGAGAGTCACGATGTCTGGTTTGACGACTCTTTCTG